GAATGGGCCCCGACAAGGCCAACAAAGATTCAAGACATCCTTGATGGTGGTTTCAGAAACAGGCATCGCGATCCTTGGGGGTCCCCTTGTCCCGATGAGGCTGTTGTCGTGTCCGTCTGTGCGGAGACCTACGATGATAACCATGAAGAGGTAGGTACACACACTACTGTAGCACCTGGGTTCCGTCCAGGTACAGGGTTGAAATGGCTCTATACACTGCAGGCATGTTCCATCTGCCGGTGAGTTGCAAATTCTGCACAAATTGTTCGTTTCGTCGACCGGTTTCGGCGAAGTGGAAGTCTGAACACCGATCTCGCCGGTCACAGATATCACCAGCCTTGCTGATACCTCATCTCAACACTTTCTAGCATCGTGGTGGAGGATCTTGGGAACCGACAAGCTTCCAAGCGTACGGATACGGGCACAGCCCGCTTAACTATCGCGTCACCAGATTCAGCCTCGCTCACAGAAACGTCTCCACCCCCAGACATCAGCGTTGGGATGGGAACATACGGCAGCTAGTTGGGGTTGACCGCTTTTTCCCCAGACCATAGTTACAGCTCCGGATGCGGCAACTTGGTTTCAGTGGCCCCTTTTCGCGGATCCCACCAACCGCTGACTCGCAAAAGATCTTCAAGCCTTCTTTGAGTGCAACGCGTTCGGGGCCTCGACATGAGTGTTACAAACCAATTTGGCTCTTTGCCTTTCGGGCGTGGGCAGGACCTTTTCGAGAAGTGATGAATCACTTTACTGCTTTGGTCAATGCCAAGGAGGCGCCGCTAGACAGCTCTGGGTGTGTCAGAGTCCCTCGCAGCACCCGGAGGTCGGATCCACTTACCCTCTTGACTTCATGATCAACAGTCGTTTGGGACCATATTACAGCAATTTAACCTAGCTTGGTTCTTGCAGAGATGCCCGATTTGGACAGCTCGCGCTGTCTGGTTGGTCCAAGCTAGCCAGTACACCATCTGACAGGCTGACAGCGGGTGGGTAAATCTCAGGACCAATGCTAGGTACCATCTTGGACAGATTGTTAATTTCTGCGTTTCTTTATCTCGGTCAACACCTTGCACGGCAGTCTGTCACGACATATATGTACTACCGAGAAACAGGCAGTTTGCAGTCAGTACCGTTGCGTTCATGTGAAAACTGGGCAACGCCCAGGCGACCAACTCAGCGAGCGTTATGGATCAATCCAGAATTGGGCGGTATACGACATCAGGAGATTCCCTCCTGACTGATGAGCTGTATTGAACGCTCAGACGTGGCTTTGCTAAGTTTCGTGTCTACTTCATCATGACCGACCCGTGCTTGACGCTTTGGGGTTGATACTGATCTATGGGTCCCGACGTTGTGGGAAAACTGCAGGCTTGGGGCATGTTGCTGTTCAGTCGATGGCGATTGTTGGGACACTGAGCCTTTTTAGGAACGGAGTACGGGCTGCAGCAGCGTATCCGGCCGGGCTCACTTCCCAGTGTTTTGTGGGAGACAAGTACCACCATGCGCAGTCCCGTAAGTGGCAAGCGAGACACAGGGGCGAAGGGGATAGGCTACCAGACTGTCGGGACGGACAACTCAGGCCCTGCAGGATGGCTCCGGCAAGGTGGGCTGCGACAGCGAGGAGGTAGAGGTACCTCTAGTTACCTCGGCCCTGTGTGGTACAGATGAGTTGTCTGTAAATTTCAAGACGCCACTTTGACCTTGAACGTTTCCTCCCGCTCGTTTCAGATTACCACCCACGAACCCCCTTATACGGAGAAGCAAGGCTTGGCTATTACATAAAGGGATACTCGTCTTTACAATGGACGTGTTCTGTGTCCACTTATGTGATTAAGCTCCTGACTCCTTGGTCACCAAGCGGGAATGACTTTTCGTACTTGGCGCAAGGTCATAACCGGTTTGAACTAGCTACTCTCATCACTTGATGTCTTTGAATTTTCCTATTTACTTGGCCGTTCAGAGTCCGAGATGCCTTGCCAGCATGCTTTAGCATTGACAATACGTGTCGGGCGAGGTTGCTCTCCAACAAAGAATAACCATGCCATCCGGCTGGAGAGGTTATATGGTCCCTTTGCTGTTTTGTTGTTGTTTCAATGGCTGTTCGGAATCTGACCTATCACTTACATTTCCTTACCTTACCTCGAAAATTTCGTGCCACACACAGGTTAACGTGTACCGAAAGAGACGAAACACAATCTTCTATACTTACAAGGCCCGTCGCAGCATCAAAAACTCGGACAATCAAGCGCTCAACACACCAAAAACGCATGCTTCAACCACAAAGGGAAAATGGAGACTTCAGTCCTCAGATTGCGGGCGGAGCAGAGATTGTAGTTTTCGAATCATTAAGTTGTCATAAATCAATTTTTTTGCTGCGCACGAGAACAAAGGGGGATGTTTAATACTGACACTGACGACCCGTCGGAATAGCCACATGGAAGAATAAAAGAACCTCGAGGGTCCTACGAGTGAAAGCACAAAGGAATCGATTCGGCCAATTGCATCTTCCCTGCCCTGGTCAAGCTAGAAAACTGGTTACTCAACCGTTGAACACCGCCGACCGTCCACTTTTCGAAACCAAACACTGTTTCCCTGTACGCAAGATACGTCTGCTTTGCTTTCAAATATCGAATCCTAGATCTCCCTCTTTTCCTGGCTTTTCTGAATGTCAAAGTCTTGAAGTTTTCGTTTCGAGTACTGTTTCCTTTTCTCTTTTTTTAGTTTTTTTTTTCCCTTCCCCATTCCCTGGCTGTTTCCCGGTAATCGACCAACCCAAGCCGCGGCGCATTCGACGGGAGGTGGCGGTAAAATTCCAACTTCCACTTTCTTTGATCACGATCTCGGCAATATAACTACACATTCCTACTGGGGACAGTACTTGAAATGTCGCTTGAACAGATGCATGACATTGTGCTGAAAAAGTACAGAGGTTGTAACCCGTCTGTTATCCAAGTGACGAAGAAACAAATATGTAAGTGGTCATTGCAGTGAGACGTACTACCTTACCTACCTCAAGCGCCACTACAGAGTAACCACACAAACACTGTACCTGTCCAATGTCGTCAGTACCTGCCTGCCTGCCGTTCTTCTTTCCTTCCTTCCTTCCTTCCTTCCTTCCTTCCTTCTTTGCAACCTTCCATTCAAAGAGACTATTCCGCAAAAGGGGGGGGCTGGCGGCGCTACTACCAATACCTCTAATGTATGTACACTACACTAGACTGCCATGGAGACGGCGCGATATGTATGTTGTGTAACCCGAGAACTGAACTGAACTGAACTGATTGGAGCCTACTCTAGAGGTCGGGTCGGGTCCGTGCCTACCTAACTGCTAGTCTAGTGTCTAGGTGCCGTGCCCTTGGCTGAGTATGTAACCCTTGAGGTTGTTCAATCGCTGCGAGACCGGTGACATGGAAGTCTAGACCCGACGAACAATCCAAAGAAAGCTCGGTTCCGGACTGTCGGGAGCCGCGGGGGAGGGGGGTCGAGCCGGGGTGCGAATCTAACTAACCGTGATAGTGATCATCCATCGGAGCCTGGCTTGGAAGGTTTTGTTAGCAAAAAATGGTAAATGTTTAGCTAGGCACATATTGAAGGGCCGATGTTTTTTTTTCTTCTTCTTTTTTTTTGCCGGCTGTGCAACGAAGATGGTGATGATTCCCTCGATGGATGTGATCAATCATCCATATAGACCAAGAGAAAGAAGGGTCTAGGTATACATAGTATATATGTATATACCTAGTCAGATAGATAGTCAAGACCCGGCCGGCGGGCCCCGACATTACGTACACATTGTACATGTCTACCTACCTAGGTAGGCAACAAAACAGACGATAATATGCAAAATCTGTACGGTCGATTCCAAAAATGGAAGCTTAGGTAAGGTAAGCTACTACCAGATCTTGTATGTACTACATAGCATTATTCAGGTACCCGGATCGTTTGCGTCGGACAACATCCCACATACATATTTCACCGATCATCATCACCATTCGATTCGGCTGCTGAGTGGTCACATGTAGATTACCTACACATTGTATAGTATAGGTCTTGATATACTAGGATAGTCACATTGATCATTCGGTAGGTTACATATGCCAAGTAAAGTACAGTAGGTTCACGTACATAGAGGTAGGTTACAGATGGACGGGTTCTCCGTCTTACCTCCGATCGATTTCCAGGATTCAAGGGTAAAGAGAAAAAAAAGGGTAGCTGCGTAGTCTGTTTTGGATTATGCAAGATTGGGCGCATAGAGAGAACTACATATGTACTATGCATGTGCCTAGGCGTAGATGGCGCGGGGAGGAGTGTTTGCTATTTTAAAAGCGGAGTTTGTTAGTGTATTCGAACGGAGCACAGCGGCCTGGCGTTTGGTGATGATGGTTGGGGAGGTTATTATTGTTGTGGGAAGTGTTCCCCTTCTTGATTGCCTAGTGCGGTTGTGTCTTGGTAATACATACATACGAGGCATGTCAGTTGCGCAACAACAGCATTCGATGTTTTTGAAGGAGATTGCACAGAGTTCAAGTTGAAAAAGCTGGGGCCGGGCCAGGCGATATGGAGAAAAAACGAGTTAGTTCAACTTTTACTACCTAGGGGCACCTATACCCATGAAAACCAGGCTCAAATCTACAACTTCACCACGATATAAGACGCGAACAAATACATGATGAAACTCGCCATTCCTCACTTTCGTGCCTAGAGTGTCAACGCTCATCCTTATCCTACTATTGCTGCGAGTCATGAAAATTGATGGGTCACAAATGGAAATTAGGGTAGAAGGGTAGGTTGTATAGGGACGAAGGGGGAAAGAGGTCGAATGAGAGATGCGCTCAGTACGACTGGCTCCCCTCGTGGTTTTCATTTATATAAAGTGTTCGGAGCACGATCGAGTGCGAGTGGTCTTCTAACATGACTTCATCTAACAAGCTATCTTCCGTTCAAATTGACAGCAGCAGTTCCAAAGCCAGGACTGACGCAGTTGCAAACGATAGCCCCCCCCCCCCCAATATTAATCCCCTAATGTTCTACGGAAGTATCCCACCATCACTACCCTTCTTCTTCTTCTTCTCCTGAGGCTTCTCCTTCAATACTCCCACGCCTCCATATCCCTCCTGCTCCAAGCCAATACCAGGTACCTCAACCCCTTCACTCACTTGCACCTTCTCTCCAGTGATATCACCACCATGGATATATAGCGCCATCACTCTTGGCCCTGGATACTTCCTCCTCGCATGCACTACCCACCACAACGCCGTCAGTGCCACCACTCCAACCAAAATGACACTATTATAGTTCATCGATTCCGTCGTGGTTGGATAATCATAGGGGAAGCAAAAGAGGGTGTTGAACAACACGATGAAGAGGACCGCTAGAATGTTGATGGGCGTTCCGAACTTGCCTAGCCGAAAAGAGCCGGGGACGGAGGGCAGGTATTGGCGCCGGGTCAAAATGTTGGCGGCGAACGGGATGGCGTAGGAGGTGGTGGTGAGGATGATGAAGGAACCGGTTAGGTTGAGGAAGGCGGTAGGCGAGCCGAGGGGGATGGCGCCTAGGGCTGTTGCGATTGTTGCTTTTTTTACGGAAGGGGGGACTTTGTCAGTTTTCTGTTTTTAGTTGAAGAAAGGAGAGAAGCGTAGAGGTAAAAGACTTACCGACGAAAAGAGTGGCAGGGATAGGACAGCTAAGTCTTTCATTGACGCGGGAAAAGAGAGGGGATAACGGGACGGCGTTGTCTCGGGCCAAAGCCCAGTAGATGCGTGAGTTGGCTAGAACCGTACCGACACAGCAGAGGAGTGAGGAGCACAAGATAATGAACAAGAGACCGAAGGTGGCGCCGTGATTCGTGGTGCCGTCGGCGTGGGCGGTCGCTTGAGCGTAGATGTTGGCGAGCGGGTAAGTGTTAAAGCCGCCTTGGAGGGCGTCGAGATCGGTGATGGCGTAGCAGAGGGCGATGGCGAAGCAGAATGCGTCTAACGAAGGAGTTAGTGTAAGCTCGTCAAGTGCAAAAGGGGCTTGTGAACATACAGAGAAAGCCCAAGCCGATTTGTAGCCCAATTGCCTTTGGCAAGTCCTTCTTCGGATGTGGCAGCTCCTCAGCCATATGCGTGATAGCATCTGGCGTTCCCACGGTGAACGCCCCGTTCAAAACCCCCAACAAGAACGCTAAACCGCCTGGCCAGCCCGTGAGGTTATTCTCGGTGAAAGATTTCCAGACAAAGTAATCACTAGCGTGACGCTTGGGCATGGCTGAGATGACAATAATGGTAATAATACCGCCGACGATGACGAAGAACATGCCGATTTTCTGGGTGTGCGGAATCACTCGGTTGGCAAAGATCACAGCTGCCGTGGAAAGCCAGAGAACAAGCAGGTAGGTGATGTAGACCTGCCATGGCTCGTAGGTGTAAGTGGTCTGGTGGTAAACAGAGTACATGCTGATGCAGATGTTGGCCGTGATCTGCATCAGGGCGGCTAGGTCGAACATCCATCCGTAGAAGTTGATCCAGCCGGTGAAGAAACCAAGAATCCGGCCATATTTGGGCCCGCCGGCTGGCAATGATGTTAATCTTGCCTTCTAGCATCTAAGCAGAAGGCGTGGGGATGTAAAAGGGGGGAAGCTTACCGATAGTGGCCCAATGGTAAACACCACCAGCAGTTGGAATAGCTGATGCAAGCTACAATATGAAAATTCATGGTCAGACATCCCATTCTAACGCCCCTATTCACGCAGTCCAACACCTGATGATTCCTTGTACTCACCTCAGCCAGTCCCGCCCCGATGAAGCTGTAATAGAAAACCGCGACGATAAGACCAAAAATAAGACCAGGCGGACCACCATTAACTTCCAAACATCACCGATGTTAGTGACCACTCATTGATGTTTCAAGAAGAACAAGCGCCAGCAAGACGGGGCCCGCTTGAGACAGTACGTACGAATGGACACCGAGATAGACGACCCGAGAGCTATCCAGGCGTTGTCAATGGTAATTGCAATGCCAGCCAAGCCCAACAGACTGTATTGTCGGTTGAGCTGGTCTCGATAACCTGAAGCATTGACCACGACTCCATTCTCGATCGCGGCGACGATCTCATCTCGGTCTTCAGGACATCCTCCGGCCCGCACACTTTGTTTTTCGTCGACCGATGCTTGATGTGAACTGTCCATGTTGTTGGGAGGATGTGAAAGAGCCGATGTTTGGCCAGGTGGTAGCTACCAGTTGCTGAAACTTTTGCAGTTTTAAACCGTCCATTCCCAAGGGAAGCCACGAAGATATTAATGGCAGCTGAACTGAAATTGAGAGTGTATTGTTCATCGTGCCTTCCTACCCAAAAGGGTAAAACAGTCCCTGGACGTCCTACACTACAACGACCACATCCGGTCATTCGCCGGCATCACAGAACCTGTGTCTGGACTCGTGATGCGGTATGTATAGCACGACCTTGATATCGAATATAGTTCCGATGACGCACAGAAATCCCCCATCTCTAGATGTTATCTCTCCAAGCCAAGTCGTTCGAAGACGTAAGACCAACTCGAGCACTGACAAGACCAGATGTTATACATCATCTGGACAAAACGTGGTTAGTTCAATTCCCAGGGGTTCTTATCCTTATCTGGATGCTGCTGCTGCTGCCCACGACCTGAAGATCTATCTGCTGCAGGCGTAACGGCTCATCCGACGAATAAGGTCCGCGAAGCATTGCCGTTACGCTACTCCGTCCCGTTCAATACCCGTGGATCTGCATCCCGGGGAGAAACATGGCTGAAGAGCAGGGGGTTCTTGGGACGAGTATTTCGGGACGGCAGATCTGATAAGTGGAAGAGTCCGTCGTTGGACGCCTCAGGTTGTAGCAGATGTTGGTATCATGTTGTTTGATAGGATGGATTAGGCAGATTACAACCCGGGCGTGGTGACAGCCGGACTTGATAACGTGGGGGTGGGCGACGATGAAACCCTTACTTCGGAGCCCCGCTTCTCGGCGAATCGCTCTAGCGCCTGATTGCGTGTAGTGGAAGAGGAAATCGGTATTTTCGCATGAATGGAAAATGGAATGGGATGAGGAGAACGTGGGGACTGCATGATGCTGCACCTGAAAGGCGTCTGATGTAGCATTGTGGTGGAGGCTGATATGTCCCAGTCCGATATCAAAGGTTTGAGATTCTCTGGCGTTTGGCTTGTAGATAAGGTATGCGGATGCGGTAACAGTCGCCCACATGAGTGATACATTGCACTGTCATCTGGACAAGTGCTTGGTGTCTGACTTCAGTGAGAATAGAACCCGATATCGACCCCCAGGGTGCCTCGCGTGGGTTTCTAATGATCATTGTCAATCTCCCGGATTTGATATGATAACCAACAACCCGGGGTGAACGAGACTGCCCCAGAGTTTGGAAGTGTTTTCCCTGGCAAGTCTTTTGTCGTCCATCAGAAACAGAATCAGCTCGCTGGTTTCTCCACAACCTAGCCTTTGAGCTGGGTTGGTCGCAAAGTCAACTGAACATCCGTGGACCATCACCACTAGGACTTGGACTCATAATCTTGAGCTTATACCCAAGGGTAGCCGCATCCAATGCATTGTGTGGCCCGGTAAGATATTTGCCGTCGAAGCCGCCAGGAGAATGAGCAGAAAAGCAGTCGCATGCATGTATAACCTCCCAAAACCTGAAGACCAAAACTCAAGACTCATGCCGTGGCAGCATCACCATCGTGACCCCATCTTGCCGACTCATCACCCTCGCTCCAATCCTTTTCGACGTATCCGAGCTCTCGTTTGACCTTCTCGACCGTCGCCTTATCGCCTGTGTTCTTTCCTACGTTGTCACTAGGAGGCAATTGTTAGTCGCATATTGCGGTAGGAGCAGTGGCTCCAAGACAGATTCTTACCTGATCTTAATTGCTGGATTTCCGGCAGCCGAGCTCAGCTTGATGACAATATTCAGAGGCGTGGATTTCTTGCCAGTAGCCTTGTGGACAAAGTCATTGGTAAAGTAGGTACCGACACCAAAAGTTGGCTGGAAGCCGGCCGCTTCAGCAACCTCCTTGTACTCCAAGCACCTGTCAATATCCAGCGAGTCGGAAAAGACAATAACCTTTTTGTCCTTGATGCCCTGTTCATCATAGAACTTGCGCATGAGCTTGACAAACTCCTTGGGGTCTCCCGAATCCTGGCGGACACCCGTGAAAACTTGGGCATAGGTCTTGTCGGGATGGAGGTCCTTGATGACATCTTTCGCTGCCGAGATAAAGGCATCGGCCGTGCTGATCTTGCGATCCCGCGGCTGCGGTACGAGCTCTCCAGATGCCGACATTGGCTTGCTGAACGCCCTGAGGAATTCAGGGGTTCCAAAGGTATCTGTGAGCGCAATGCCGAGGACGCCAGGTCCGTAGCATCCAACCCAGCGGGAAAGGGCTTCCTCTGTAGCGGACTTGTAATCTCCAAGGATGGCGGCGTTACCCATAAACCACTCGTGCGCAACGGTGCCAACGGGTGGGATGTTGAAGCGCATGGCAAGGTGAACGTTGCTAGTGCCGGAGAGCTTACCGGTCAGGCCTCTCTTCTCGGCTTCCTTGGCCGCCTTGGTGAGACCCCTAAACACCAAAGCTTGCGTGTGGTAGTCGCGGCGCCGGCGGGTTCCGAATTCGGAGAACACGCAACCAGCCTCGAGCAGGCGCATGCCTTTCTCAAAGGCCTTTTCTTCCTGGCCATCATAATCCCAGTCCGTGTCCATGAACTTGAAGTAGGCTTCCGAAGTGAGTGCGAGAAGCGGAATTTCGTAGAGAATAGTCTCGGCCCAATTGCCCTTGATATCATAGTGGATATCACCGAGATCCGAGTCACCATCAGGGCGGAAGGAAACGGCGACCTGCTCGCGCGGCCGAAGGCGGAACTCGGAAAGGTAATCAAGATACTCTTCGGTTAGGTAAGGGCAGTGAGTCTTGAGGAACTGGAGCTCCTCGGGGGATAGGCTGATATTCCCGAGCTTCATAACCTGTTCTTCGAGCCAGACGAAGGCTTCGCGCGACAACTTCTTCTCGGGAGTGCGGTTTGTGAACGAGTAGGTGACGGGGACGTCTTTGAAGTATTTGAGAACGGCGCATTGCATCGTCAACTTGTACAGATCGGTGTCGAGGAACGAGATGACACCCGCTGGGTGAGGCAAAGAGCTGTTGAAGTCCATGGCTGTGCGGTAGAGCTCTGGAAGGGATGAGCGTGTAGGATCGGATGAGTCCGTCGTAATGTCGTTTTTGAATGGGATATACGATAACCTTCTTCCACCCAAATGACGACTAGAGAAACTAAGAGAGGAAGGAAAAAGTTCAAGACACAAGACGAGCTTGAGACGGTCGAGTTGCTCTAGGAGGGCTGACGAATCGAAGTTCAGTAATGCCGTTAATAGTGGGCAAGAGTGGAGACATCAGCCGTTCTCTTTTTGTTAGTGCGGGCTTCTTCCTTTGCCAATCCAATGAACCTTTCGCACTTTCGACTTCAGTTGTAATCCTAAAGCATTTTCACTCGGCGCGCGCTTGGTTCGCCCTTCACGTGCGACGAAGGAATGCCAGAGTTGTTGGTTAATAAATCACTACTCAGTGGTTGTTTTCTTTGTCATAAATTGGACCATTCGAAGTGAGTCTCTTGTCGATTTGTTTTCCCGTCCAAGAATATGTACGCGGGGCGTCTGTATGGGAACTTGAAGGTGTTGGAGATCATCGGCGTCTGAAGTCCTGTGATATCTAAGGACTCCAAGACACCTCCACATGAAACCCTGGAGCAATTCATAGTAGTCACTGGCGTCTATTTCAAGCCGGGAACAGGAGAATATCCAACAATGCCTGGCATCCGCATCGATGTTCGTTGTTGCTTCAGAGAGAGACGTCGTTCCTGCCTGCGATGATGACACAATCAAGAGGAATTGGTGGGGCAGTCTCGGCGGGGTGCCCGATGTTTGGTGTTTTTTTTTTGGGCAGGCACGTTCACTGCACGCCCTCGTTGACAGCAGCAATGACCCTGGGCCAAGGGGGGTCACAAAGTGCACGGACCACACCTTAATGGTTCACCGACTTGCTTGGCGCAAAAGTTACAAACCGGCAGAAAAAAAAAAGTTCACTTCGAGGTCAGATAACAGAAGATCCGAGTCGCAGAGCGTGCAGGACCCCGCCGACAACATACCAAGAGGAGAGAAGAGCTCAAACACCCAGCAGAGACCGGCTTCTTTTGGACGATACTGAGGTTGGCCGCTCTGAGGCTCGACGCCCACCCATACCCGCACCCGCACCCGGGCCCCCCTCCTTCTCTTCCACCTAGTAGGACCCAACAACAACATCAGCCATCATGGATATTCACAGGTGTCGCTTCGTTCCCTATCCCGCTTCCGCCATCAACGCCGTCGCCTTTTCCCACTCCGCCCTCCCACCCGTCCCGGCCGGCAAGAAGAACCTCCAGAAGAACATCCAGGTGCGCCTTGCTGTTGGCCGCGCCAATGGCGACATCGAGATCTGGAACCCCCTCAATGGCTCTTGGCACCAGGAGCTGTTGATCCCCGGCGGCAATGACCGGAGTATCGACGGCCTGGTCTGGGTTACCGACCCCGACGAGGAAATGGCCGACGGCAAGATCATCCACGGCAAGTCACGTCTGTTCAGTGTCGGTTACACCAACACAATCACCGAATGGGACCTCGAAAAGGCCCGCGCAAAGAAGCACGCGAGCGGCCAGCACGGCGAGATCTGGTGCCTCGGCGTTCAGCCCCCTTCCTCCGACCTCCACGCCCCAAGAAAGCTCGTCGCCGGCACTGTCGACGGCAATCTCGTCATGTACTCGATCGAAGATGGTGACCTCAAGTTCCAGAAGAGCTTGATCAGGGCCCCTTCCAAGAAGGTCAAGATGGTCAGCATCTGCTTTCAGTCCAGAAATGTTGTCATTGTCGGCTGCTCCAACAGCACCATTTGCGCCTACGACATTCGAAACGGCTCGCTTCTCCAACAAATGACCCTCGGTTCCGACCACTCCTCGGCCTCCAAGAACATTATTGTCTGGTCCGTCAAGTGCCTCCCGAACGGCGACATCGTCTCTGGTGACTCGACTGGCCAGGTGTGCATTTGGGACGGCAAGACCTATACCCAAGCCCAAAGGATACAAAGCCATACCCAGGACGTCTTGTGCCTGGCTGTCAGTGCTGATGGCAGGAGGATTGTGTCGGGTGGCATGGACAGACGGACGGCCCTGTACGAGCCGGTTGCTGGACAACCCGGTCGCTGGTCCAAGGCCTTCCACAGAAGGTATCATGGCCATGACGTCAAGACCATGGCCTCTTTCGAGGGCAAGGGCATGAGTGTCGTAGTTTCTGGAGGTTAGTCACATTGCTGACATTGTTCCCCTCTTCGTTTCATACTAACACTTCTCCTATTACAGGCCCTGATGCCAGCCCCGTTGTCATGCCCCTCCGTGCGGCAGGCAAGGAATTCCACCGTACTCTCCCCCATCTTCCGCAGACCGTCAATGTCAAGAGCGCATCCAAGGCACGGTTCGTTGTCAGCTGGTGGGACAACGAGGTTCGCATCTGGCATCTCTCCAGCCCGTCGCGCGATCTCTTGAACGGTGCTGTCGCCACCACCGACCTGCGCAAGACACGGAAACTTATTGCCCAGATTTACGTCAAGGGCGATCACAACATTACCTCGGCCGCCATCAGCGAGGATGGTACCTTCCTTGTCGCGTCTACTGCTACCGATATCAAGGCGTTCCAGCTCGATATCAGCGATTCGCAACAACTCAAGATTAAGAAGGTCGAGGTTGCGAGCGCTGGTCACGGAGCTATGAAGGTGGAGATCTCTCCCGACAGGCGTTGGATGTCCTGGGTCGAGAGCGGCAGCAATGTAATGGCGGCGGAAATCACCGTGAACGAGGACGGATACGCCGTTTCTGCTCCCTCCAAGCTGCGCCGCCTCCACCGGCAAATCCCGAAAAACATCCTTCTTGGTGGTCTTGGTACCTACGACCGAAACGTTACACAAATGGTCTTCTCCCCTGACAGCAAAATGCTCAGTGTCGCTGATATCGCCGGATGGATCGATACCTGGGTATTACGCGTCCCAGGAGAGGAGATAAATGGCACAAAGGGCGAGGCTGACGACGCTTCCTCGAGCGACTCTTCAGATGACGAGGAAGATGATCAGAAGGATGCTACGAGTGAGCGCTGGGTACGCAACCCCAACGCAGCCCTTATTCCCAAGCTGGACTCGGCTCCTGTTGTTCTCTCCTTCTCCAAGACTTCCCGCCAGGAGGGCGAAGACTACACCCTCTTGGCCATCACGACATTAAAACAAGTTCTTATTTTCAACCCTCTCCGCGGCTCTCTAGCAGACTGGTCTCGCCGGAACACCTATGCCAAGCTCCCGGAGCAACTCCGTGTCACGAGGGATTTGGTCAAGGGTGTTGTATGGCAAGGCCCACGAGTCTGGATCTACGGTATTTCCTTTCTCTTCATGTTGGACCTTTCTCAAGATCTGGATAGCCAAGATGCCAGTGCTCTTTCCAAGCAAAAATCCAGCCTAAAGCGGAAGAGGGATGGTAAAGAGAATGGCGCAGGCGGCAAGATGGACCACCAGAACGCACTTGCCCCCCATAAGATTAGGGCGGCTGTTGCCGGACAGGACGGCGCCACTGAGTGGGTGGATGTCGAGATGGCAGATGCCGATGATCAGAAGGGTGCTGCCAGCAGCGGAGTCGAGGATGAGGACGACGACTATGACGAGGATATGGAGGGCGGCGAGCTCCAGCGCCTACGCGACGGCGAAGCGGGCAGAGAGGAGCAAAAGAAGGATTCAGTGAAGCAGAAGGCCAAGTGGTGGCATACGTATCAGTACCGACCCATTCTAGGCATCGTACCTCTTGACGGCGAAACGGTGGAGGAATCCAACGGAGCGTCGGAGGGCATTCCGATCCCGCCGCTCGAGGTTGCCCTTGTCGAGAGGCCGAGCTGGGATTGTGAAGTACCCCCGAGATACTTTTCAAATGGTGAGCGGGAGAGGTAATTGTAGGAAGCATGCATATGGCATGAGGTGTCACATATGAAGGGGCCTTGGTCGGCGAATAAGGCCGTAGAGGTTAGCATATACCGCAAAATCGGAGTTACACGTATGTAATCGCAACTGAGCATGTCATTTTGCCTGGGTAGATCAAGAGTTGGGTTTCAAAGATATCATCACACTGAGGCTTACACATGAGTCCTATTCCTGTGTCTTGATACACCATGCTACCTTGGGCCGGTGGGCATCAAGAAGACACCGAGCACTGGGACCGATGGTGAAGCACCTGGTTTTATTGGTGCCGACATTCGGAGGTTGTCCATGCTCCTAGGGTTGCACGGTTGTTATAAATTTCACATGTACATGCAAAGACCACCAAGATCTTGCCAAAGCATTTATCCTATCCTGTCTTACGCCATGCACTAAACCGGTCTCACCACTCGCTTTGGGATGCATGCGCGATGTGAGTCGCGGGCACCTGTACGAAAATTCCGATGAGGTCTGAACAACCAATAGCAAATTATTCCAATTACGAACCATTCGCTGCGTATGCTCCCGTTAGCTCTATCTGTAAAGTCTTTTCAACAGTCAACAATCACGTTGTCGTTGAAAGTGGAGTTAGTGGTGTAGACTCGAGAGGGGACACTGCAGCGGAGAAGGCCCGGGAACTGGGGCGCCGCGTAAGCACCACTTGTTGGGGACGCGCCGTGCTCATGCCTGTACAGGCCTGGGTACACACACTCAAGAGAGCAGCAAAAAAGAAAGGATGACTAGTTCAAAGGTATCATCCGAACACAAGGACGACCGCTGTGAGTAGTTTGGGGGTATGTGACATTTTGATCCAATTCGCAATGCGTCTGGATTCGGGAAAAGGGAAGTTCACCAGCTGCGGCGAGCGAGAGGCAACATTGTGACGGAAAAGGGATCGGACGGATTGAGGCGATAAAAAGGTGGCAGTGGGGATCCCCCTTGGGGCGGGCGCAATTGGGTACATGAGGCTGAGCAGGCGAGAGCGTAAGCAAAAAGGGACTGGGACTGCCTGGATTGAATTGTAGCGTACACAAGGTTACTACCTAGGTATGATCACCGCCCACGTCGTCGTCTCTCTTTTTTGCCTGATGTCTGAGACTGGACTGACTATCTTTGGGATCGATCATTAAATGTGTTGGCAGAAAAAAAAGAAAGAAGAAAAGAAGAAAAAAAGTTGAAGCACATGACTACCTATGTTTTGCGAACCATCCAACGCACGTATACGTTCCCAAGAGAGACAGATATCGTCCGCCGTCGGGTCGTGATCACCAAACTTTGACGGTTAGCGGTGTTGAGCTTCGTCATCCTTCCCTGCATGGCTAGCGCGACTCTAGGCCGGTCCAGAGACCATTGGTCGCCCAGGTTGTTCTTGTTAGGGAGGTACGTCGACACAGCCAGGAAAGGTCTCCTTGAATTAAAGTTACTCCAGCCTGAGACTATGTGCGAGTACCTGTAGCCTGCCCTGCGAAGAGCGAGGTCCAGTTTGTCGCCTGCTGGGGGTCGTCGCGGATGGTTTTCGGAAGGGCCCCACTTACGGGAGGGCACCGACCAGCAAATATACGTCTCTGATTGGCCAGTACGTCAGTATACGCGCGTTCTGACCTGGCTCGCCTGGCTAGGTACCCCCCGAACCTCTCATTCTTCCCTCTCTGGCTCTTTCGAGTTTGTAGGTATTGAACGGGCGACGAGTTCTGTAGTGTAAAAAGGGCAGAGACACGTAAGACAGCTGAGGGGACCGTGAGTGCGACCATGGAGAAGTAGCGAACGACACCAGGGACTTTTCTTACACTACTACATACCATCCATACCTCTACCTACTCCTGCCCATATCCTCTTCTTCTTGCTTTACTTCTTCCGTTCCGTTGCATCAAGATTCGGGCGGCATGCACTACTGCTGCTGAGAAGTAGGAGGTATAGCTGAGCCCAGCCACACCTAGAGGCGCGACGGAATTGCAGCGAGGTGTGTGTGTTTTCTGTGAAGAGGAAGTTACAACCTTCCATTCTTTCGCCTCGGTGCAAGTCTGTACACTCAATCAGTAATCGTTCCGTAGAGGTGAGCAAGCCCAAACCCCCAAACCACTCCTGCTGCACTTCGGTCCGGTTCATACCCGACATCATCTCCTGTTATCTGTCATTTGTCTTTAATCTGCGCCTTCTCCATCGGGTACTTGGTGATCGCTGCATTTTCTCTGCATCTTCCAAGCTGACAGTTGCAGCAACATCAGGCCTACCTACCGACAGCAGTACCTACGAGGTGGATGCGCCAAGGGAGACGTCCGAAGCTTGTGAGTCCCAACTGAACTACTATATCTTCTCGACGGCATCCCAGCCCATTCCGCTCATTCCTCCTCGACCGATTCTTCCCTTGCTTTCGCCTATCCATCAACAACCACATCGCTTCGCCCCTCGCTGGCCGACATGGCGCTAATACGATGCCTCCCTCTCTTAGCAAACATTCTCGCCATTCACTTGCTTACAACGCCGACCATTCGACTCTCCAAGCACCTAGCGACGAGGCGCGACACCATTCCAAGTCTTCAAATTGCGCGAAACCCTTCATTGGGACCTTCAACAACATCGTCTCTACTAGTTTGATCGCCGACATCACATCAGCGGATTCCAGCAGGGGGTTAACCACAGGGCAACCGTCCGCGCTGGTCTACCCATAGCTGTATGTCAATTCGCCTCATAGTCAGCCTCGAGCGCCAAGACGCGACGAAGCGAATGCTGACCATCCCGACAAGCGCTTACTCCCTAGAGTATTGAATCACCCTCGACTGGCGTTTACAACGACAATTCAAAACTGGCAGCGAGATAGACGACCAGCAACACCGGCCGAAGAGCTCCCAAATCAAACAGGCGACACAGGCTAGCGGAAGCCGCGACCGAACATTATCAGTGACCATGGCAGGAAACAATTCAGGGGGTGGGAGTTACCCATTAGACGACCATGTGAAAAGCGTGGCACGCGATCTACAGCACAGGTTTGCGCAGATGTCAAACCGGGATCAGAAATTCGACCTACATGTCATACCCGATCTTCTTTCACAACCAGTAGTCCCCGAGCCGCCCGCGCAAGACGACAAGGAGGCCCAGAATTTCGAAAAATACCTAATAGCAATGTCTCATATACCCCTAAACTACGAGAATCCCGGCCTGCTCGACGAGGCGTTACAGCAAATCCCACTCGATAGGTTATCGCAGGAGGCAGAAGAGGAGGTGGAACTTTTCCAAGCGAAAGCCGCAAGCCTGGGAAAATCAAAACCGGAATGGAGTCATCAAGAGTGTATGGTTAGGGCCCTGCTCAGGTACGTTTCTGTCTCCTGTCTGGCTTCCATGTCATGATGGATGTTTGTCTGTTTCTTGCGCCAGCTAACTCGTGACTACACAGGTGGTTTCGCCGATCATTCTTCACCTTTGTGAATAATCCTCCATGTTCCGAATGCTTGTCGCCCACGAACAAAATCCGTAACGTTGCGCCTACACCAGAGGAAAGAGCCCATAGTGCGACATGGGTCGAGCTGTATGCGTGCGTAACCTGTGGGGCATATGAACGATTCCCACGATATACGGAGGCATGGCAATTACTACGAGTAAAGCGTGGAAGGGCTGGCGACTTCGCCAACGTCTTCACCATGCTTTGCCGAGCTCTTGACATCCGAGCTCGCTGGGTGTGGTGCCAGGAAGACTACCTGTGGACCGAAATTTACTCTGAGCATCAACAACGATGGGTTCACGTCGACAGTTGCGAAGAGGCTTGGGATATGCCCCACATGTACTATAAGAACTGGGGGAAAAAGATGTCCTACGTTATTGCCTTTTCTCGCGAGGGCGCGGTCGACGTTACCAGGCGGTACGTAGGGTCACCGGACGCCCTGCTCCCACGGACACGCTGCTCCGAAGGCGTCCTCAAGTTCATCATGGAGGAAATCACCAACCTGCATCGGCCAAAGTACGCCCCGGACGGAGAGACCCGCCTGCGGCTCTATCGGGAAGATGTAGCCGAAGACGTGCAGCTTCGTTCGTTGTGGTCGGCTACCCTGGAACAGAGTCGGAGGTTGAAGGCGGCCGCTGCGGCTGCTGCTCGGGGTGGCCGCAGTAGCCCCGACAACAAGAGCGGCGCCAACATGATGGGCTCGCCAGCGACGGGCGACATCAAACGACCCATCCCTGAGGATGCACCTGTTCCTGATGTCCCTTCACTCTGGCCGACGTATGGACCTTGACGGCATGGTATTTGTTCGGACACATCTTGAATAGATAGCAGTCATCATTTTCACGTCGTTTAATACCCCCTCCCCCGTTTTATCAGAAGGAAAGGAGGCATGCAATGTCATCAATCTTTTGTTTGTTATATATTATACATATACCCTTTGTCATGTCATGTTCAAGAAAGATTCATGTGGATTTATTCGGAGGGAGGCATTAAGACTACTTGGTAGTGATGGGTTGGAAAAGTTGCGCCCTTGGGGCTTTTGGGCTGGAGTAGGGAGTTTCTCGAGACTTGTGGGAATTTTTAGGCACATATGATGAGTGAGGGCCTAATCAAATTTTTGAACTACCAGCCTCTGTGTATCATGCTGTTCAAAATTTCACGATTGCTCGCGTATGACTTGATAGACAGCATGATCGTGCCCATTTCCCAGCCCGTGTTGTTGATTTAGGGTGCGCCAAAGCCCAGATCTTTGCTTGTTAGGTATGCTTTACGAAACTACGAACTGCACTTCCCGGATCCGGGTCCCACAAGAAAAGTCCAAACATACTGATCTGAACAAAGCCGCTCCAAACAAACACTGCAAGGACAAGCGGCGGGGGTGGTTGGTCTTTGTTCCGCTACCTTCTTCCAAAGATCGAACAAACAAAAGACGATGACGGAAGCTGACGCACAAAGAGACTGGAGCCGTTGGGACATGGGGGAATTTACATGATTTCGTGAAGGGACAATGGATGGGTACTATGGGCTTGGCGATAATGGATTTTGGGAGAAGAATGGAGGACAGGTGGAAAAACAAGCTACGTAACTACGGGGGTTTTTCGGAGCGGGAGTGATTGCAGTCTAGCCACTTGAGAGAGGATTTAGGTATGGAGTTGGTCCGCACCTGGTGAGTATTTATCTAGTGGCTTTTCAAATTTTTAAATTTTTTTTATTTTTTTTTATTTTTTTTTTTTGGGTTAGTTGAAGGTCTGGTCCAAGCAGTGACACTCCTCAAAACCATGATGAGTTTATGTTTCCCAGTTCGATGTATTTTGGTGGTGACTTGGAGGAGTGTCACTGGGCTGTTCCATGATTGAGTATTTCTAGGGGGTTCAACTCTCCAATATCCACAACTGGAACTTGACGGAAACGATGTCTTAAAAGATAAATCTCGGATATTCAAGGAAACATCAGAAGCAGGATATATCAAAGTACACAAAAACCCAGTGAGAGAACCTAGTGACAGGTAACTACATTAGCAGAACCTTCAAACCTGGAAACGCCGCATCGCCTGCCCCGTTGTCAGCTCCCCTTACACCACAATCCAACAGGAACCCATCCTCATACACTCCGAGTCCATGTATGTACCATGTATCCAAAAAGAAAAAACCCCAAATCCCAAAGAAAACATATAACTAAACATCCTGCTCAACCTCCTCCATCCTCGATTTCTCCACCTCCTTCATCAGCTCCTTCACATCCACCATCTCCAACGCATACCCTTGTTCATGCGCATCTCGTCTTAGTTGATCCGGATTCCAACTCCTAACCACCACGCCCTTGGCGAGATCATCCAGCTTCGGCCGGACTCTCCTTTCATCCACCGGCACGTCGGCAGCAGGAACATCGCCATCTTTGTCGTTGGAAAAGGGGTTAAGCAGTGTGCCGATAGCTTGGGACCAGGTGCGTTTGCGTCTGTTTTCGGCGGAGGGCGGGGATAGGCCGAGGGCTGTTGGTGTTCTTTGTTAGTTATCGATATACGATATATAGACAACCAAAAGAAAAGGGGGGTGGGAGGAAGAACACACACAAAAAAAAAAAAAGAAACAAGACGGGAAAAAAAAAAAAAAAAAAAAAAAAGAAAGATTACAAGACATACCCCTATAAGCAGTCTCCGTCATGCTGTCCTCCACCCTCCACGCCTGCCTCACCGTATCCCCCACCGGATATATCGCCGGCCCCCTCTTCATCTTGACTTTTTCATCTTCACCAAACCTTCTCAGCTTCGGCCTCCTATACCTTTCGGAAATCGGATCTTCTGCCACGGGATCATACACCATCTTGGGATCCACATCATTACCCTCCTTGATTTTTCTTTCGGTCTCCTCCGAAGTGTACCCGACCCCCAAAGGCCAGCGGTCTAGACGCCAGTATTGGAATGACTTTTTACTCTTGGCTGCTCCTTCTTCTCCTCCTTCTCCTCCTTGTTGTTGTAAACGAGCAGAAGCAAATTCCCACGACACATCCCTCTTCCTCACCGTCATATGCCTAACCTCCCCCGTCTCCGGATCAGGTCCGTAATAAACCACTTCTCTCCCAGGGACAAGCATGGACAGGTTACAGATGGACTCCTCGAGCAATTTGCGCTTGACCACGGCAAAGGCTTCGGTCTCGGTCATTCCTTCCCCGGTGTAATCTCTGGGAGACAAGCGTTGGATAAGTTGCTGCAACGAAATCAGACCCTCGTCCTTGCCAAAAGCGTGTTGAATCTCGGTCTTGCACTCCGCTTCAAAAGTAGTCAGGCTTTCGGTCAGATACTCGGCTGGGACCGGTTGCGGTTTCAAGCGGCCCTGTTCGGCGCGCTCCTGGTTGAGCATGTAGATGGTGTAACCCAGCCTAAACCCGAGAGCCATGAAGAAATTCCAGACGGGGGATTGCGGGTCGGTAAGCTCTTGCGAGCGGTCAATTCCGGGACAAAGGATCTGCTGCCAGGTCGAGATGTACCCCAAGTTGTAGCCCGGTTTCTCGCGGTGCGCGGTGGGGCCGGGCCAGATGACGCGGTTCTCGGGAAAGTATTTGTCCAAAGGCCGCATGACGACGCCGTAGCAGCTGGGGTCGAGCTGGAATCGGACGTGCCCCGTGTCGGCGAGTCGGTCGAGCCAGGCCATGGCGTCGTATGGGTGGAAGACGACTTTATCGACGGGGGCGCCCTCGCGGCCGGCGTTGACTTTTGCGAGGAGCTCCTCGACCGTCACTTGGGCGTCCGCGTCGGCAAAGAGCGAGTCCGGGTCCCGGTCGTCGAGAATCTTTTGTACGCGCCGCGCAAAGATGTGGAAGATCTTGTATTTCTCCTTCGGCTCGTTGGGATAGAAGTTGTTGGGCTCCCAGTTGCCGTCGTTGACGGCCTCGGATGCGAGAAACTTGAGCCAAGGGATGTCCTCCTCTAGGTCGACGTAGCGGGGGGCTTTGCGAGGATGGGTCGTGCCGACGATCTCGAGCTCATCACCGTGCAGGCGCACTTCGGCGGGCACGTCGTGGTTGTGGAACTCGCCCGAGAGGCCACGGTCGATCATGGCTTTGACTTCATCCAGAAGGAGACGTGGGGCGCGCCGCTGGGCGGCCGAGAGAAGCTGGTAGGTGATGTTGCACTGGTCTAGGATGTCTTGCTTTAGCTGGACGTCTGGGTCGACCATGCGCCAGACGAACGGGCCGCCCGTAACGACGTTTTGGGGTAGTGTTACCCAACGACGATCTTGTCGGCGAAGAGCTTCGACGCGCTTCAAGGCCTTTTGGCGCAGATGCCTCAGGGACTCGAGATATTTGGGGATCTGGACAGTGAATGGCATGGTATCCGCCTGGGCTTGGATCTTCTCGTCTGGAATGCGGTGTGGTACGAACTGTACACCATCGGTGTCTCGAGTGATCTTCTGCAAAACCGCAGCGTCTATAGGAAGCTGAAGTGTGCGTAGAGGGCTGGCCATGTGTTCCTTCACACTCGTCTGATAAGCCCGCAACATCTGCTGCAGACCAGCACGACGGGCTCCTCGCTCTCTAGCAAAGCTCCTCGGGTCGTTGGGAAGGATGATGGTATCATCAGCCAGAACCTTTGTGTTCGTGGTTAGATCGTTTCGAACCCAGCCGGCGTATTTGGATCCTGAGAACTTGACGAATGCCTCACTCTCCACCAGGGCGAGATTATTGTCTCCTTCATCGTCATGCCATACCTCTCGCTGGTCGTGTTTGAAGTCCTCAAACAGTTCATAGTTGCCGGGTTCGTCGATGAGCATGGTGTTGACAGGCTCAACGGGTCGAGGATATGTCGGTCGAGGCATCAGATCCCTTTTATCAGGAACAGGATTTGTCGATGGGATGGGCCAGTTATGGACGTCACCAAGCCAGTTGAGGCGAGTTGACTTGAGGCTCCCCTTTGGCAGAGGGTTGATGATCAACGGTGTCGGCTGAGCATTGTAATAGTCAAAGATCTCATGCACCCTGACCTTTTGGAGAGCATCAGCGTGCATCTTTTGGGTTTGTTGACTGGCATTCGCGAGCTGCCCCTTAGGATCCTCATCAGAAAGCCATTGGAGGTATCGAACCGTCTCAGCAAATTTCGGGGCCCAGTTGAGATCACGATACATGTCTTCCTCGCAAAGCAGGTTGTTGACGTGTTCGAGTCGGACAGCCAGCGGAGGTTGTCTAAACCCTTCGTACTCGGAGTCGACCGTCCAGTCCGGGCCAGTGCGGTCCACAATCGGCTCGATCAGCTGTCCTCCTTCTACCGCGGTGGCACTGGGACCATAAGCAGCAGGCAATTGAAGCTTTTCCAGCTCTTTTATCTGCCCAAGGATGTCTCCAAACATATCATCTTCTCCGCCGTCTGGACTTAGAACAGTGGGTAGTGAGCGAAACGGCCCGGGCGGCACAATACTCATCGTCGCTCCGTTTTTCTGGTCGTCCAGGCGAATGTCATGCACCCCTGCTGACAATGCGCGCCCCGGATCGTCGATGATGTACGCGGCCTCCATTGTCTTTTCTGTCTCCTTGGGCCATGGCTTGTAGTTGTCCGGGATAGGATGAAAAGGGAGCACAACCGACCCTTCGGCGCCCTGAAACCAGTAATCCCAAATGGTGTAATGAGAAGCCTCCCCCATAAACTCGATTCCGAGACCGTAGTCCAGGATTTCGGGATTGCAGAGGAACAGCTGCAACTGATCGATCTTGTCGGCCTCCTTGCAGGCGGGGAAAACATGGCGCTCCAAGTACTTTTTGAAAGAAGGGGGACACTCGGCGTAGTAGCTTGCATATCCGCGTAAGAAGCGAAGAAAATTTTCTAGCGACAGTGTGCTACGTTAGCCTGGAACAGTTTGTGAGGTTGAATACAAAATCATACCATCCATGGCCTTTTTCATTTCACTAGCACCTCGGAGCTTGGGGCGACCCCCCTCCATGCCGGGTCCAGACATCTTGACGAGTGCAATTCGTGTTTCTCTTTTCGCTATCTCTTATCCAGCTCTGGATAATCCACATCTGCTTGAACGTCGCGCGAAGTCTAGTAGTATCCTTGCCTTGCGACTCGCGCAACGCGCTGAAATTGTGTAATAGTATACGGTGAACAGAGAAAGTTGAAAAGATAGCGGTTGGGTTGTGATAAGCGCTCACAAGAGTTGCGTGTAAGAGGAAGAAAGGTGATTGTCCGGGTGTGATTGATGTTTTGAGTCTATCGGACGGGACTGGGTTGCTCTCGAAGGGCGGCACTTGTGCTTCAAGGGACCAGTTAGCAACAATCAGGGACACTTGCCGTTTGCATACAAAGCTTCCGCATTGGGGAGTGACAATAAAGAACAAAGCGGACTGTTTCTGTTGTCTCCCTGAATTAAGCAAAGATGATCCTGCTCGAGGATTTGTGCGTCTTTGTTTCTCACCGGGAGACAAGAACAATCTCATAAGCAGCAATTGGGCACAACAGCGGAAATAGGAGGTATCGCGCAGAATCTCAATGGAAAACTGGCTAGTTCTCAAAGGAAGGAATGAAAAGGTTTTTCCTAATCAACGTTGTTGCTCCAACTTAAGCTTGGGTAATGGTGTCTTTTTCAAAAGGGGAACCGTTACTTTACGAGCTTGTTGGTGATTATCGCGATTGTTGATGACTGCCACGTTACCCTCAGCTTAGCCAACATCATACGATATGGACTCTTCAGAGGATAAACGGCAACAAGCCTTCAGAGAAGATGAACAACGCCTGCTTGAGGGGCATCCGATTTACCGGTCGAGGCCAGACGGAACTGTGAGCGTGCTTCGGCGTAGGTATGGACTCTAGTATCTCGACTCTTTTCAAGCATACATCCAGGCTAACTGTCTCAGGCCTGGAAGACGCATACATCGACCTCAGCCAGCTCCTCCTTCGGTAGATCAGCCTCATAGCCTTGGAGTTCAGACCCGTAGCATGAGCAGGATGCAAACCCAGAATGATGCGGGCTTCCAAGACAACGCTCATGTGGCCCGTCCAAACATTCCTGCGGCATCGGCTTCCCCGTTTGGTGAATGGACGCCCGATATCGCCTACGGAAGTGAACTCTGGGTAGAAGGTGAGGACTTGAGTCGCATTGAGATTGCCGAGAGAGGGATTGCGCGTGCTCGCTTGCGGGTCGAGCATTATAGAAACGCTCCCAACCCAGCCATTTTCCAGCAACAGCTGGATGAGGAGATCAGGAAGCGGGAGGAGCTCGATGATCATGACGAGGAGAACACCAAACCAATGTAAGTAGTGGCAAGTGATTCGCCACGAAGGCATGAGTTCAAGCAATCATGCAAACTGACAAGACTCAATTCCACAGATCTACCCTTGCTTCAACCCATCGAGAAGCCATCAACAGACGTCTTGAACTTTTGCATGAGATTCTCGAGCAGACAGAGTCTGAAGCGCAAAGGGTCAATATCGAAGCCGCCATTGCCGGATACGAATCCGGGGCCATTCCGTATTCAAGATCGTATACGCTCATTTGGGCCGGCCGTATCGTCGACACTTGTCCCGGTTACGGCTCGTTCACAACGGACCGTGATTCTCGGCTTGACACGTATCTTGACGAGCATGGGCCTGGATGGCTTTGGCATGAGCCACCCCTCGCAGCGCAAGGCAAACTACGTGCCAAAAAAGGCACGAGTCTTGAGAACCCGCTCATGGGGCGCCTGGATACATATGGACAAGGTCATTACAACATTAAGATGTATTTCCGCGCGCGTAAGGAGAGAGTCATGCGCAAGGGGGCCAAGCGTGCGAGAAAGGCAAAGGAGAAGTTGCCGGAGTTCAACGCGCAGCCTGACGAAAAAGCTCAAGTAGTTGAGTTGTCTTTGCTCCTCGACTCGGGCGCCACTTTGCCGTGTATCACGCCCCAAGACCTTGCCCTTCTCGGCATCGACCCCAAGACATACGCGGCGCAGACGGCCTCGGAACTCCACCTCGGTGAGGGGACGGTGAAGAGGGCCATTTATGAGCTGGATGTGGGGTTCAGGTTCGGCGAGGAAGACTGGGCATTCCATACGGTGCCAGTCATTGTCTTGGAGGGCGAGAGTCGACTGAGCGGCATGCTTCCCTTCAACGTATGCTATATATCAAGCGCGCCAGGCACACATAGAATGTGGCTTGGTCAGAAACGACGCGACGTGCTTGGGGCTGGTCGACTACCGGGACGTATGAAGGCCGGGGAAGTGCACGAGGGGGAGGGCCGCAATCCGTTTTATGGAGCTGTTGGAACGCCGGCAAACAGCTTTTGGGCCACGGGAGGTATCAACTTGAGAGACCGAGACTCTTCATCGAAGTTTCTCAAGGACCGCACGGATGAGCACGATGCGGTGTTGGAGGAGCCGTCTAAGATGTTCAGGTTCGAGCATGACCTGGGGAATGGTGAAACTTGGGTGGATATCGGGTCCTCATCTGGTGCGGATGAAGAGGAGGCTGTCAAGGCGAGTCCTCCGAGGAAAGGGAAACAAGCAGCGGGATCAAAGTCTCTGAAGCCTCCGAATTAGCCCACTGAGACTGAACTTCAGGCAAGCATAGAGCGCATTCAACGGTTGAAAAGGGAAATCCTGGGTGCAACTGGTCAGCCTGTGCCAGCGACGGGCAAGAGAAAGGCGAGAAGCTCCGCATTACTGAGCCAATGAGATTAGGCCAAGATTCGAGAATATTGGTGTAATATGACTGGGTGTACCGCAGTACATGGATGGAGTATATCTGATTCAATATAGGGTGGCGATGATGATGATGATGATGATGAGGTATTAGTGAGGAGGTATTAGTGAGACATGTATCGTGATCCAATGTTTGGTGTTTTGGTGTTGAATTGGTGAAATGGTTGGGCTCCACTCGGTTCATTGAGGTGCTCCCCCCACACTTTTCCTGTTCAGGGGTCCCGCGCCGGCGGCGTCAGGTCGTCTCCACCCTCAGCTCACAGTCTCCACTCTGGAAGGTAGGTCACTGGCGCGCACTTTGAGTGGTGCTCAGGCCTCAGGGCAGTGGTGCTCTCTTTCAAGCAGCCCGGCCCAATTACTCTCCAAGTCAGGTTGACGCCGAAATTGCCATTGGGGCCTTGGGTCCTCTTCTTTCCCAATCTGCCCAGCGGGAGATCCCAAGTTCCCATGAGGTTATCTAGAGGTGATCTGAGGTTATCCTGACTTCAGTCGATGGAAAAAAGGCTTCCACTTGTAGGGAACAGTCAGAACGAAAGACACACGAGAGCAAAGAGCCTCCGATTTGTCCACTTGGACGCTGGTAACGCGGATTTTATGTTTCCCGCGCTTCCACTTTCACTTTCCTTCTGGCTTTGGGTTCCCAACGGAATACCGCCTTCAGGTCCCGCAGCCCAATAAATACCTACCTACCTTTCCAGAGGTAGCCAACCAAGAGCCGGAACCATTGCTTCCACTTGTCTTGCCCAGAAGCCATGTGCCCGCCCCCGGGGCCCAGGATCACCAGGCTAACTGAACCCACTGGACCACCATGACACCTTACTTATGTACACACTACCGACTGCAGCAACAGTGCAGCGCACTACAGGGGTCGGTCTCGTTTGGGCCCGTTTTCCATCTCTTGCTCTGCTGCAGGCCGGGACCCGACACGGCATTCCTTCCGCTTTCCATCTCTTCCTCTCTCTCTCTTACTTCATGTTGAAACTTCTCCCTCCATTTCCACTTGTTTGTCTTGATTACTCCCGTCCTTACCATCCACTCGCTCATTACGACAATCACCGGGTCGACGGCGTAGACAGCCAACTTGAAGGAAGTGGAAGACGGAAAGAAAGGACAGGAGCTTGGACCGCGTCGCGCTCTCTCTCTCTCCTCTCTCCTCTCTCTTCTCTCCTCTTCAGAGCAGAGCCAGATAGTACTCCAATTGGACGTCATTTCCCATTCCTTCGGGGGTAGCTCCTTTTACTGGCGCTCCTTCTCCCTCGTCTTCTCTATCGACACTGCTGCATCACTTGTTGTTGTTGTACTTAGAATCACCCCTTTCTCTCTTGACTTCTACTTTGCATTCGCATTGTCCGTTACCACGCCGATACATCAAGCATCTGCTCGACACCATTATCAAATCGTCTGATTATCCTCACCATGTCGTCCAAGCCAGACCCGAGCGGAACAGGCCACTCTGCCTCCTCTAAACGCTTTCAGCTGCCCGCCCTTGACTTCAGCTTTGCGCCTTTGACCGAAGGTACCGATATCCCACCTCCCGAACCGTCGCCGAGGATCAGGGACGAGTCGACGAGAACATCAGACGGGGAGGATCTCCAGGAAAAAAACACAAATGGAAGTGGAAATGGGTCCCTGGCTCCACCCAATGGAAAATCCAGCAGACCACATGTATCCTTGCTGACGTCGCCCATGTCGTCCACGTCCGGAACCACCAAGTCGTCAGGTGAAGACCACCTCACATCACCCACGACGTCGTCGAGTCGCAATGGAACCATCCGCCGTATGCTCAGTCGCCACAAGCTGAGAAGCCCCCACGTCAACGGCGACGAGACAATTGCCGAAAATGGAGCAGCAGTGTCGCCGACCCAGGAACAGCAGCAGCAGCAGACGACGAATCCTCGGCCGCCGTCTAGCAACCGACCGCCGAGTAGCAACAACAATCATGAAGTCAAAAAGTCAAGACGGGTCAGTGGGTGGTTTGGCAAGATTTTGGGGGGAGGCGACAAGAGCTCGACCACCAGGAACAGGCGCGCCAGTATGATGGCTCCCTTTCTTACCTCGCCATCTTCCCCTGAACCGGCACAGGTACGACCCCTTACGGAAAACAAGCCCAAAGGCCCGCCACCCCCAAAGATCCCCGAGCTCAGCCAGCTCAAGTCCAAGCTAGACACGAAAGACGACGGGGGCCTTCTTGGGGATGATTTGTTCAGGGACATAAAATAAGCGGTTCACAACCACCACAAAAAAGAGGCAAAGTGAACAAGAGGCACATCATATTCGCGACAGGCGGGAGTCATAAATCTGTGGAGGCTGGAAGCAATGCCCAGGTCAGACTTCCCATGAAGAAGCGACGAGTGAGAGATCATAAGACACACTTGTTGAGGGGATGTACGCGGTGGTAACGTGGGGGGAGAGTGATCACCAAGATGGATTGAGACGGTGGATGTGGCGGAGGTTCCAGAGATACCCAACTCTTTTGTTTTGTTTGTTTGTTTCCTTTTCCACTTCTTTCAACCGGGTCATTGTTCGGGGTTTCCCATCTTCACATGCATGATGAAACATTTTCTTTTGTTTTTTTTTTCTTCCAAAAAAAATCTGTTTCTTGAGTACAGGGCAGAGGGGCTGCTCCAACATGTACCAATCATATCGCCGAAGAGAAGACCAAAGGGGTCTTCCTTTTACATCTACAAGCAGTTGTTATTTTCAATAACACCAATTTGAGACGTCACGGGGTTGCATTGAAGTTGACGATAGATATTGGGGAAGGTATTCGAACGCAAAACGTGATGGTGGTAAGAGAGAATACCTCGAGCGAAGTCACATATAGCTAAGTATTCAAATGATATTACAGAGTGTGATCGAACTGTCAATGCTTTGCATATTACCGTTACGTTTGCCGATATACCAGGCCATTTCTCTTCATCACTAACATAACAATAAATTGTACAGTCTCCATCGGTAGATTCGGAGCCCTGTTGTGCGAGGTAGCATCACTCTCACGCTTGGACCCCTTCCAAACCGTGTATGTATACTTGCAGCACATTAAACATCATGTCACCGATAACAATACTCCAGTCCTTGAATTCGGCTGGCGCGGATGATTTTCTCTGTCAGTTGGAAAGTCTTTCACCAGCTCTGGAATCTTCTATTCAGCTTGATTCACTTTCCACGGTCTCAAGTCCAGGGTATATGACCAGGGAAGTCGAGGCTGAAAGCTGAAGTGAACCACCAGTTCACTCGAGACACTTGGCAACGCCATATACTTACACAGTAGCCCCAAGGCCATATTCCGCATCCCATTCCGGAAAGTGTTCTATCCAATACGATGTACATACTGCGTAAGCTACGGTTCAAATTCTACTCATATTTCGTAACGGTTTCCTTGCAGCAAAAGAGGCGCTTTTTGGGGGGCTTGATCTGCTTCGGACCCTTCGCAGATTCGCAAGCAGGTGGAGGGTTAGGGATACCCTTGCGACTTTCAAGATTGCCCTGGTCTTGGCCAAACGAGTGGAGAAGAACATAAGACGTGATGATGGTCAAAGCTCCTTGCCATCTTGAAGGGTACCGTAGAGGTACCTCTAGTGTAGTGTAATGTACCTTTCTGAATGCCAAGACTAGAACGTCATCGCCAATTCCACAAGAATCGGGGTTCCATCAGACCGAGTGGACCTTTGTAATCGATAAGAGCTCCGCGACGGGACGGGACCTGACCTGGATGGAGCTGCACTGGAGGCCCGGCGGGTGAGGTCGGGTCAGAAGCTCGGGAGTTGTTGCTTGATATCATGTAATTGACGACTGCCGAAGCTAAACGGGATGGAAGATGGATGGAATTGGGAGATAGGTAGATGTCGGTTGAGGAGAAATTGTGAAGAGCTGGTGACAATTACTTGCAAGACAAAATACAAATTTGGCCTTTTGTGATTAAAAGGACAGACAGCATATGTATGTGACGCAATTGTTCATTTCATCTCAAAGCTACCTTCCGTCTTGATGTAGTAGTGTATCTGTCCTTGCCAGCTCCATGGTGTGCTTGTGACGGGAAGCGCAAGCTCACTGTGGACGTGGTCCGTCTCCATTTTCTCCATCATTGCGGCCGTCGATCATCTCACTACGTCCGTCCCCGCACCTTTTCTCAATTTCCACGTTGCGTCGTCCCCTCAGTTCCTCTCGGTTCTCCTACAACAACTGAACAACCCAAACGCCCACCCTTCGCATTGACTAGTGTAGTAGACTGGGTCGGTGCCAGCTCTGAAGCCAGGTCGGTAAGCGATTTGCAATCTCCATTCCCCCAATCCCCCATTCCCAATTCTAAAATCCCGAACCACCACAAAAGCCAAGAGAACCCAAACACTAATCTCGCCAAAACCTCGAAACAGACGCGAGACTAGTGTACACACAGACTACAGTACCAACTCAACCTAGCTCCACGAAACAAAAGTAACGACAAAAGTCACACCCAAAAAGCGAAATGAAGACCACCCTCACCCCTGTCGCCAGGGCCGCCGCCGCCACCGGCCGATTCTCCGGCTACGGCCACGGCCTTCGCACCACCACCACCCCCTTCGTCCTCCGCACCGCTGCCGCCGCAGCCGCCGCCCCGACCGCCGCCTCCGGGCTCATCTTCCGCCGCCACAAATCCGGTCCCTACGGGTACACCCAAGCCAAAGCGCTCGTCTTCTCGCGCTTCGGCGAGCCCGCCGACGTTTTGTCGGTCCACCAACACTCCATCTCCCCTTCTCTCCCCGACGGCTCCGTGCTCATCCGGGCGCTCGCCTGCCCCGTCAACCCCGCCGACGTGAACACCATCCAGGGAACCTATGGCGTCAAACCCAAATTCTCTCCGCTGCTGGGGACCTCGGAGCCGTCGGTGATTCCGGGGAACGAGGGGTGTTTCGAGGTTGTGAGCGTAGGAAACGGGGTGCGGGGGCTGAAAAAGGGCGATTGGGTGATCCCGGCGACGACCGGGTTCGGTACGCTGAGGACGCACGCGCTGGTGGAGGATGCCGACAAAAAGCTGATGAAGGTGGGAGGGGACAAGGGCAAGGAAGGGTTGACGCCCCTGCAGGTGGCGACGGTGAGCGTCAACCCGTGCTCGGCGTATCGGATGCTGAAGGATTATGTGGACTTGATCCAGTTGAGCGTGGATGGGTTTGCCAAGGGGACGGCGAGTGGGGGAGCGTGGTTCTTGCAGAATGGAGCCAACAGCGGAGTGGGCAGGTCGGCGATTCAGTTCGGTAAGCTTTGGGGGCTGAGGAGTATCAATGTGGTGAGGGAAAGAAACACGCCCGAGGAGACGGAGGAGTTGAAGAAGGAATTGATGGAGTTGGGCGCTACGGTGGTGGTGACGGAAAATGAGTTTTTGGATCGCAGCTTCACGCAGAGGCTGAAGGACGAGTGGACGAATGGCGGAAAGGATCCGTTGATGTTGGGGTTGAACTGTGTCGGCGGAAAGAATGCGGCGCAGATTGTCAGGAGTCTGAGTCCCAAGGGTGTGATGGTTACATATGGTGGCATGAGCAGGCAGAGTTTCCCGTTCCCTACGGGGCCGCAGATCTTCAAGAGGTTGAGGTTTGAAGGATTCTGGTTGAGTGCGTGGGCCGAGGAGAACCCGGAGGAAAAGAAGAGGATGATTAATGAGATTTTGGAGCTGATGCGCGAGGGCAAGTTTAAGGCTGCGCCGGCGCAGGAGGTTACCTGGTCTTGGGATACGGAGGAGAAGGTCTTGAAGGATGCGGTGCAGGGTACTCTTGAGGGATTCAGGAGTGGTAAGGGTGTCTTTGTCTTTGGTGAGACATAAGCAGTGATGACGATTGAGGTGTGTGTGTGTGTGTGTGTGTGTGTGCATACTCACGGTATGTAGAGGTAGATCTATGGGTGGATATTTGAATGCTTCGTGTTACCTTATAACGCTGACTCCAGTCTATGACTATGTGCAAAACAGAACACATCGCTGACCAATCCTCCACACAAATATCCTCCTCCCACTACGTCCGGAAAGCCTGCATGACTCCATGCAACCGATCAATCATGACCGGCACCAGCGCATTCAAACTATCCTCCATGATCTTCTCCAAATTCCTAATCGCCTCCTCCTCGCTCAGTTCCAAGTGAAACCTGTCCCTAACCTTGAACACTGCCTTATCCGGCTCCAGCTTGATATCCGGAATATTGGCATCCACCATCAGACTAAAGAGATTTAGAATCAAATTGCTGTTTTTTCGGAGGGCACTATACGCCAAGAAGCAGTACTGCTTGAACTGGCGATAGTGCTCCGAGTTGACCCCGCCCATGCAGTCCACCATCTCTTTCGACAACTTCATCACGGGGGCAAACGGCTTCGGGTCGCGGCCGAGGATGTACCCGAAGTCGGCGTGGAAGAAATGCCCGTCGGGGGCCAAGAGGAGGTTGTCCAAGTGGCGGTCGCCGACGCCCAGAATGTACGTGATGACGCAGTAGCCGGCGCACGACCTGACAAAGGTGTCGAGCGTTTCCTTGCGCAGGCCCAGCGGGCCGTTGCTGTCGGGGTTGTTTTGCTTGAGGTAGGCGAGCGCGGCGTTGTTGCCGTATTTGTTGAGGATGCCCTGGAAGGACATGGACGGGACAAACTGCGAGAGGCCGGCGCTGGTGCTGGTAGCGAGAATCTTGTAGGGCGAGAGCTTGAGGTCGAGGTTCTCTTTTTGTAGGAGGTCGTCCATGAGCATGATGATTTGGATGACGAGCTGGTCTTGGCGAAGGTCATCGCCTGTTTTGAAGATGAGGGGGTACTTGGTCCCAGAGGTGGTTTTGAAGGCCACCTTGATGGGATGGAGGGAGGATTTGAAGACGATGGTCTCCTCCGGGATCGCGCCCGTGATCATGACTGAAGGGTCCAGTGGGAGTGGGAGCGGCGGGTCGAGGGTGACCAGCTCGTTCTTGGATTCGGCCAAGAAGTGCTTGACCCGGTCGGTTCTTCTGGCGATAGACTCGTTGGCCTCCTTGACTTCTCCTGAGACTTGAGAAAGGATACGAATCCACTCGGCCTGTCGTTTGTATGTTCTTCTCTTCTCCTGGCCCCCCGGCTGCTTGTCAAGCTCGGTCATGAAATCGTATGCAACCTTGGTGTAGATTTCCCTGGCATCTTGTCCTTGCTCGGAGCTCCTGTCGTCGATTTCGACCATAACATACCAGTAAAAATAGTTGCCGAGCGTCAGACTTGACACGGCCCTCGTTATCAAGAAACTGGCCAGGGAGCTATCCTGGGATACGTCTTGACGGGACTGTGGCAATATGTGCTCGTACTTGAGCGCCTGAACCAGCTGCAAAAGATACAGCAGCAGCTCGTTATCGTCTGCTTTCCGTAATCGTTTCACTGCGAAGGCTCTTACGGCCGAGTTGCTGAACGTCGGGCCCAGCAACTCCAGCGCATCGTCCACATCAATATCAGTCCACTTTTCGAGAACCACCACAGCCGACCTTGCTTCTGACGCGTCGAGCCAGTTGACTGACTTGACAAACTTGGTGAGAGCCTTTTTGTATCTAGTTAAGTGGTATCGGAATTTCCAGATGAGGTCCTTCTCTTCGGGCGACAGACTGTGGGTTGGTGGGTAGGACATGATCTGGTTGAGTTCATCTCTGACTTTAGCGTTTGGTTTCAGGTCTTTATCCAGAATACCGTTGCGATGCTGACTGCGGACAAGTCTTCGGTGCTTGCTCTCGGCTGGGTTGTCCCTCGCGCCTACCTCCGGATCGTAAACTCGGATCAAGCGGCCTGCGGAGGTTTCATCGTCGGCATCTATGCGGCTGATTCCCGGTCCAAGCTGAATGTCTGGTGTGGGCTTCACCATGAGACCCGACTGTGAGGACGATAGATGCTGGAGCGACGAGATGGGTGGAGGTGGATACTCGTGATCTGCAAAGACAACGGGGAAGTCAAATCTGGGCAGCTCGACAGTCAACAGAAAGTCGGACGGCACTGGGATGGGTTTGGAGGCATCGGTGTTGGCACTGGCGAGAGCTTCCTGTTGACGCTGAATAGCCTTGAGCCTGAGGGAAGATTTGGCCGAACCATATCCGCGCTTTTCGATTACCCTGAAGGCCAGTTGGTCGAGCCAGTCGACACGGGGTATCTCTCCCATCTCGTGTTTCTTGAGAAGGTCCATCAAGCGGTCGTACTCTTCGGCATCGTTGTCCACAATGGATGAGGGAGTTCCCTTTTTGCTGGAGCCCACACCGGACCTTCTGGGTATGAAAGCAGGAGCCCCGGTATCATCATTGCCATCTGCTTGTTTGTGTCGGTACACAAAACACTGTTGACGGCCCTTGTACAGTTGGTTGTCTTTATCGAACAAGGGCAGTGTGGTGCCACCAAAGGGAATGGCATGACCATGAGCGCCTTCGCCTCCGGTTGGAGAGAGGTCCCAGAGGGTGATGGCCAGACGGGCATTTTCGGGGAGAGTAGAGTAGTCGATGGGCAGGGTTAACCACTCGGACCATTTGCGCTCATTCCGGAACCACTTGTAGGGTGTTTGGACGGGAACAGTCAGAGGCTTGGATCCGGCCCAGACCTGGACGGTGACATAGAGGTCCGAGTGAGGACTATGAGAGTTGATTCAGTAGCCATCTTCTCGGACAACAAGAAACAGGTGGGTGTACCTTTGGTTAGAGCCAACATGTCGCAGGTCTGGCCTCTCAAGGAGAGTGCTGAACGGGATGGGCGTCTCCTCTCCCTCAAGACTCATGATGCGAATCGAGACGGGATAGTTGAGCTGGTCGGAGCTCGCAAACGAAAAGGGCTCCATGATGGGCATGGTTCCAGATACTTCGGGAAGTGACCGTCCCCGGAACCGAACATGAAGCACGTTATGGGATGTGTAGAGAGGTGTAAAGAAATGGAATGAAGAGTCAGGCTGAAGTCTTTGAGAAGATGAATGTGATATGTTGTACGACGGGATGAGTGTAGTCTACCTGGTGTACAGGTCATTTCACCCCCCCGCCGCCTATAGGGCTGGCAGGTGTCACATGGAACGTAGTGTAGGTATAGTAACCGCAGTTACAGCGGCCAACAAGGTTCCCCGGGCCCCGGCAGCTCCACCCCGCGAATTGGCCAGAAGGGGATCCACCTTTTTCTTTCGGCGGGGTCCACTCCGGCTTTGCTCCCACTCACTGTAAATCGCGTCTTTCTCTTGGAGGACGCGTCTCCTCTTCCATCATTCTTTGCTTGCTTCCACTCTATTTTCCAGGCTACAAGTGTCTTTCACCTCTACCCACTGCTCGTGTTTCCGTTCAAGTCGGGAAGAATTCAGTTGAGTTTGTGTACCCGATCATCCGTCTTCAACCACAGTCGAGACCCCGACAGCGAAATCCTGGGCTTGCTGTCTACTACTATCATCTCTTTTCGCCCGACGACAACCATTCCTCACACGACCGAGGTCTGTTGATATCCAGTTTGACATTTGATAGGCCCAAGGACTTATCGACCGAGGATTATTGGTGCTTTGTCGGCTTATCTGTACACTCTGTACCTACCAAAACACACCGGTCACCCCGTATCCCGCAAACACACCCATGTCCGACGAGGATATTTACGATGCGTCCCCTCCACGAGCCAGAAACCTGGAGGTGAGGAACAAGGGCAAACGGGTCTCAGACAGCCATGAAGGCCCCTCGGCAACAAGGCGGCGTATCAGGGACCCATCGCCGCCCAACCCGGATGCAAATGGCGATTTGGACGAGTACGATCCTGCCCAATCCATGCAGGAGCGGCGGCAGATTCAGAGGAAGCTACGAGATATGCAGAGGGAAATGAGAGAGAACCCCGACCAGTTCATGCAGGACAAGTCCTCGGACGCCTTGATCAACTATTTCGACCAGTCAGACACTATTATGCGCGATGTGAAGCAGACCAACGAGGCCGCCATTGATTCTCGCGGTCTAGTCTTCGCTGCCGACTTGTCCGCTCGCAGGGTCCAACGGCTAACATCGGGCAACATTGGCAATGGCATTGATGTCGACGAATTTGTCTCAAAATGCATCACCTATATGCGTCATGGCCGCGGCTTCGAGGACGACGACGCCCCGGAACTTACCAGCACACAACGTCACAGGAGGCGACGGCCTGGCCGTGCTGCTGCCGATACTGAAGATGAGGAGGATATGGGGGACGAAGGCGATATGTTGAACTGGCCACACCTGGGCCGTTATGCTGCCGTTCCCAGCGTACGCAGACCAGCTCTGCCTGGCTTCCTCTCGGGCCCTCTGTCCATCGAAAAAAAAGTCCGAAGAATGACGCAGCGCAACGCCCCCTTCAAGATCAACAGCCTTATCGAGGTGAGACCGCAGGAGTTGAGGGCCGAGGACTTGAAAAAGTCCGATAAGAACGACCTTCCGTCCATTTGTAAGAATATTCTGGAGCAACTGGAGAACAAACAGAACGCTGCGCAAGATGCCGTGGAATCCCTCCTCAATAACGGTGAGGTGGACGATCCCGAGCAAGAATTCCTCATCATGGAGAAATACGCGCTGCATTCCTCAGGAGGCATTGACCTTCTACGCTTCGTCATTAATCCCCGCTCATTCGGTCAAACCGTTGAAAACATGTTCTACGTGAGCTTTCTGCTACGAGAAGGGGGCCTCAAACTGGAGTTTGACTCATATGGTCGTCCATCTCTATGTATGTTTCTCTTGATTGTCTCCTGCGCCGCCTCCACTAACCCACGTGAAAATAGCCGCCCATGTCCACGCAGACGAGCATGAAAAGGCTCAAGGAAGACACGGCACTACTAGACATCAGGCTATCATGTCGATCGATATGGATATCTGGAAAGACATCATAGACGCTTACAACATCAAAGAACCCATGATTGATCACCGAGAGGAGGAAAGCCAGCAAGGCCCAGGGGCGCAAGGATGGTATAGCTAAAAGAGACTATTGGCTATGTTGGACTCGTAGAGGTGAGGAAGAAGTGTCCCAACACCTCCTGCGGTATGTTGTTCACCCAAAGCCATCGTCCCTAAGCCGTGTCTTTGTCTACCTGTACCCAATGATAGCGATTGATCGAGATATTCACGAGGACTGTAAGTAAGTTATGGAGTGTACCGCGCCGTGCGGACCTCAGCCATGTTTGGCAACCTTATCACAGCAGGGGCAGAACTAGAAGCAGCGGCGAGCTGCACAGTGTGTCTGCTGTTTATTAGGATGAGAAGCTTCAGATTCGCGGACAAAGGTCTGGGATCATTCAGTAACAGCCCACTTCGAAAATGTAGCAATACGGGAAGGCCTCGAGGCTTGAATGGATTCATCTAGGCTGTGACACCAAAGAGAATTGAGCCCCAAATGGCCGCCTAAATCGACGACGGGCGTGCCGTTTCTTTGTCAGTGCTCTCGCCCACGTTCGATTCTTCAAAGCCGACTAAGCGGCAACTGACCCGTCGAGTCTTTGTCAATGTTGTTTTTCGAGTGTGATTGATATGCTTAACTTACCCGCTTCCGGCCAGGTTGAATGGCTTCCTTTGAGCATGCGCATGCCACCATAACCGGCTGTCAGGAACAGGTGGCAGCAAGACTTCTTTATGCCAGCAGTCCTTTTGGGCCGAGGAAAACTCCCAGTTGGTGTCGGTACCATCAATATTGCTCATCTCAACACATTTGCAACACCAAACATCGAGAAAAATAGCAACACCAAGATACTCAAGGTTCGTATTGCAAGACGTCCGCTAACAGTCAGGAGTGAATTTGCAAGATGTCCTACCCTTCGGATGGGACTGGCCCCGGAGGTGGGTCACCTAACACCCCGGGCCAGTTTCTTAACGATCCGGCCCGTTCTTCAACGCCGAAGCTCCGGAAGAGCAAAGCACGACAGTCCCTACGTATGGATATGAGCGAACCGGAAAGCCCTATGGCATCTCCAGTATCTGGACCGGCTGCGATCCGGCTTCCAGCTCCGGCTCCGGCTCCGGCTCCGGCTCCAGTATCTGGACCGGCTGCGATCCGGCTTCCAGCTCCGGCGGCGACCCGGCTTCCGGCTCCGGCTCCGGTTCCAGCTCCAGCTGCTGGTCGGCGTATAGTTCCACCTTCGGCCTCAACTACCGTTCCGACTACGGTTTCATATACGGCCCCAGCCTTAGCTCCTACTGCGGCCCCGACTTCACAGACGCCTGCAGCTTCAGCTGGTGGTTCAAAGCCGAAAGAGAAGCAAATGCCAGAGGAGGAGGATATGGGGGCCTATATTTTCCGAAAGATGCAAGAGGCAAAGGAGGCTTCTCGCATCGCAGCCCAGGGCAAAACTAAATACAATCCCCCTGCGCAAAGATCTTACTTCCAGTTGGGCTCTGGTTGGGATGACGTCGTGGAAGATGAGAGCAATGGGGGTGACACGGGTGTGAGAGTGAAAGCTGGGGACAGTGCAGATGTTAAGGTCAGCGAGGACGTGGCGGAAGATGACTACGTGAGCGACTGGGAAAGTGAGAAGGACGCGGAAAAAGAGAAGCCCAAGTTGCTCCACGAACGGTATGTGGGTGATGGTACCGGCGCTAGGAGAGTCATTAGGGAGATCAAAAAGGCATACGAGTCAGACGAGGAAAAAGAAGATATCGCAAACACTTCAGACATCGACGAGTCTGGCCAGCCTGTTCGTGTCAAAAATAAACACGAAGTGGGGCGCTACCGAGACATGAACAACCCTTTTACATTCAGCCCCTTCACAAGTCAAGAGGGACATAGGGCGGATAATGAAGCCGCTATCGAGGAGTACGACCGGTTGCGGGACGACAATGAAGGGAAAACGGACCCCACCAAACCACTGAAATACAAACCATACGACGAGGGAACGCTGCGCGATACACGGTTCATGGTCGCCCAGTTATCGCAGTACAAGGACCACGCCATAGCAGTGCTAGATAATAAGGTCGATAGGCACAGTATGTTGAGGACGTACATCGAGAAGGCAGGAGACCCTGCGATCCGCAAGGCTTTCAATACCCTGCTGGAGTATTACGACCAGGCAAGCAAAACAAAGATGCGGCTACTCCGGGAATTCCGTGCCCTGCAGATCAAGGTGGATGATGACAAGCTGGCCAAGGAAGAGGTGGAAACATATCTCGCCCAGGCCGAAAAGAGGCTGCAGGATCAAGAGAAATCAGAGTTTGATACGTATCAACATTTGATGGATGAGAAGAAGATGAGATCGATGGACCAACATGAGCTGCAGACACTCCGAGAATTCAAGCAAGACGCGGACAGGCAACGCCTTGCAGCGGTAGCCTTGGCCACACACACGTCCGAGGCCAAGATCAAAGGCCTGGAGGAGAAAGTCGACGAACTCCAATATAGAGAGCAACAAAGGGAGGCCGACATCGAACATTGGCGGCGAGTGCAAACCGATCTCAAAAAGAAGGAGGATTCTCTATCTCGCTTGCAGGAAGAAGCTACTCGCAAAACCGAGCAGGCCGAACAGATGTCGGAATCCTTAAACCGAACGCTGAACGATATCATGGATACCGCGGCAGCGCTTGGCGTTCCTATCAAAGGCGGCGCCGACCCTGATGACATAGGCGCAACAATTCTTGAAGTCTTCGATAACATATTGAACCTGTACGAAGACACCGAGCAACGACTTGTTCAAACCGAAGAAGCCAAGGACAAGGCAGAAGCAGCGGCCAAGGAATCCGCCACACGATCCCGCAGTGAAACAATCCAGAAGCTCACGACTGAAAACAACAAGCTTAAAGAACAGAGAGATGAGCAAAAAAGAAAGGCCGACACGTTTTACCAGAAACTCAAGAGAAAGGGATGGCTTGAGCCGACCGAGGATCCATCGGCGTCACTTGCCCTCGACCAGAAGTCGTTGAAAGACCAACAAGATCGCTGGGAGTCTGAAAAGAATGCCCTGAACCAGCAAATCACTAATCTCAACAAATCGATCGAAGAAGCCAATGTGGCGCTCAAAGACATGAAGCTTATGCAGGTGGAGAGGGATTCTCTGGTCGATCTACAACAACGTCAGGAAGGGGATATCAAAAGCTTGAACCAACAGGTTCTGGACCTCAAGCAAAAATTGGCGGGCAAGGCCAGCGCCGGCGCCGATCTGAAGGATATTCAGTCTTTGCGATTGGAGAACAAGTCTTTGGAAGACCAGCGACAACGTGTACAAGCCGAAAAGGAGGTCTTGCAGCAGCAGCTTTCTCAGACGAAGGCAAGGCTGGAAAAGGTGGAGACGACCCTCAAGAACACGGCGTCGCAAAAGATGGATTTGGAGACTCAAAGAAATGAGTGGTCCAAGACGAAGAGAGTCCTGGAGGAAGAGATCAGCAGGCTCAAGAAGGAGCTTGACTTGGCTAGGAAGAATTCCGCTGCACCAACAATCGTCGAGATCAAACCGGAACCCAACATTGCCGAAAGCATCACTCGCGTCGAACAACTCATGAAGGAGCAAAAACCTCAACTACCGCTGACCGCACGCGACTTCGTCCAGGGACTGGTTGCCAAGTTGAAGGACGCGCAGGGACACAAGGACTTGGATGCCAGTGAGGATGTCATTCGTGAATGCATCGGCCTTCTCAATCGTGTCTTGAAGGAGCCTGTCTTTGATGAGAAGGACAAGGAGATGCTTCAGACTTTGCATAATGAGTTGAATGAGGCTTTGAGAAAGGGCAATGAGGACCGCGAACAAAACGCGCGGTTGCAGAGCATCATTGACAAATACGAAGGCGAAAAGGAAAGCCTTGAGAAGGAGGTCAAGGTTCATAAAGACGAGATCAAGAGGTTGAAGCAGGAGATCACTGAGAAGAAAACCTCATTGGCGAACAAGCAGCAAGAGAGAGATATGCTCAAGGAAAGCTACGAAGAGCAAATCAAAAATCTCAATGCTGACCACAAAAAGGCTGCTGCGGAGCTGAAAGTCAAACATCAAAACGAGCTGACGCAGCTCAGAAAGGACGGCGACTTGAAAGAAACCAACCTCCTGCAGAAGTTAGACACACTCAGGCAGCAAAATGAAAGTGAGAGGAACAGGCTTCAAGCCGATTACGCCGCTGAGAAGGCGAAGCTCACGAAGGATATTGAAGCTCAGAAGAAATTGGTGGCGCAGAAGGAGAAAGATCTTGCGGAGCTCAAGTCCAAGAAAGAGAAGGAGATCAAGGAGCTCACACAGAAGAAAGACGTTGAGATCGCTACCCTCAAGTCCACCAAGCAAGTCGACATGGATCAGCTTAAGAACCGCCACCTCCAAGAGACTGAGAGCCTTCGCAAACAGCACCAATCTCGAGTGGGAGAGTTGGAAAGTGAAATCGCAACGATCAAAGCGAAATATAAGAAGGACCTGGATGAACTCTCCCGCAACAATACCAGCCAGGACGCTATCAAGCTAAAGCAGCACGAAAACGAACTCGCCAACTTCAAAGCGAAGTATGAACAGGAAAAGAAGCAACTCGCGGTCCAGCACAAAACTGAGATGGAAAGCCTTACAGATCGGTACAACGAAAAAGAGAAGCTTGCAACCCAATACCAGGAACGTGTTCAGGCCCTGTCGGCGGAGCTCGCAGACAAGAAGAATGCGCTAGCAGAGTACAAAGAGCAGCTATCGGCAAGCAAAGCTCAGCTTGACAAGCTCAAAGCGGATCACGGGGTCAAGGTTGATGAGTTGCAAGCAAAACTCAAATCGGAAGTCGCCAAGGTCACAGCTGATTATGAGGGCAATCTTTCGGAGCTCAGGACCAAACATCAAGGCGAAGTCAACGTCCTTAAAGTTCACCATCAAGACGAAATCAAGAAGTTGACGGCGGGACACGACGAAAAGATCAGAAACCTTGAACACCGTATCAATGACTTGAAGGCTGAACTCAAGCAAGATAGGGCAGAATTCGATAAAAAGAAAGCTCTCCTCGAGGGTGAGGTTGCAACTCTCCAGGGGAAGGTCGATGACA